ACATTTAGTTTCCTGTGTTTCTAAATCACTCCACCATATTTTTGGCTCCTAGAGTGTTATTTGGTTGAATAAAAGAATCTGTTTCCCGATAGGAACTTTAAAGCGAAACTTATTAAATATTATTAATATTTTGTGAATATTGTAAAAACTGCTTTTTATGTCCCCTATATTTTGATTGAAGTATGTTTATGAGATTAAAGTGATGTAAATAACCTGTAAGGGTTGGTAAAAGCAAGTATGCAATTCATTCTCAAAGCATGAAGAGTTCAGCTTCATTTCTCAGATTACTGTGGCATCAGATTCCAGCAGCTGTTCAGTATGTTGCCTCCGATTAATGTGACTGTTGCCCATATGTGTATAGCAATTCATTATGCTAAGAATGTTGAAAGATTCCTGCCCTCTCTTTTCTCCAAGTTACTTGCATACCTGATCCATTCTTTCTTGTTATGTTCTTAATCGGATTGAGAACTATGTATTTGTATTATTTGTTACAAATAAATTGAGAGATTGGTTATAATGGATAAACTGTTGAATTTTTTAAAATAAGTTTAGCACAAATAGGTTTTACTGCTTTCCTATTGGGTTTTCTGAGCTTGTAGTAGCAATGCCGCGTGTGTGTTGAACACCTGTGTTTCTCCGCAGCAGCAGCAGTTTTGGGGTTTTTGTTGAGGGTGGGAGAAAACAACACTTTAAAAAAAATAAAAGATGTCATATGTAGGATTTTCATTTCTTTTCCACTATATTAGTATCACTATATCAATGAAATCTTAAGTTACTTTCAAAATAAAATATAAATGCTCACGAGTCTCCTAAATTGCTGACAGGGTGTAAATTCCAATTCTAATTTTTGTAATGATTGTAATTTTTAATAGTATGCAAATGAGATGGTTATGTATTATCTTCTGCATTTCTGTTGCATGAGACTGGAAGTATATCAGAAGTATTTCAAGGACCATTTACTGATCTTTCCAGGAAATTCCTCACTTGACACAGGTTTATGTATTTTACAGTGCAAATGTTTTTAATTCAAGATACCCTGCACAAAAGTGATTTAGAGATTGGCAGATCAGGAAGGGATTATTGCAATAGAGAAGATAAGCTAGAAATAACCCCTTTAAGTTAATTATGGTTGGCAGAACGGTATGTTAAATAGATGTTTAAATATTGCCAAAGCAACATTTATTAAAATTAACCAGAATTTTACTAAAACATTTATTATGATGACAATCTTTATGAGGGTAGTGATGTAGACATATTCAAACTTTTTAAAAATTATGGTTATCCTGAGAACTAGCAAGAATATGTATGTAATAGAACAGGGATACATTGTAGTGCACGATGGACATCTTTACAGTAATGATTGCATTGACATATCCATTGTTTAAATGTAGCTTCAGTATTTTGAATGGATATTATGACTTGAAAATATATTTCTATTTTGCATAACTAAATGACTTGACACTCCTAATCTTTTTGATCTTGCAGCCCCACAGAAAGTCCTTTATGAAAACCTCAGATTGATTTCATGGTTAACCACATGAAACATTTATATTAATTTCTTGACTTACAGAAACTGTCATTTAGAATCAATTAAGGCTTTTTTATACCTTTGTAGTCCCATAGGTCCCATTATATGTTTATAAGATTTTGGTAGCTAGTTGAACACTTCTGCTTTTGTCTGATTATGTGAAACTAACATCTTGTTAAGTGACATACAAAGCTGAAACAGGTGGCTCTCAATCTCTGATCCTCCAGGTTCTTGGTATAGTTTGATTTCTGTGTAATATCCAGAAATCTCACTATATAATTGAGGACAGTGTAAATCATTGCCTTTTTTTTTTCTAATGAAGAGCTTCACTTGTTAGTTTTTGCCCAAATCTAATGAAACAACCTGCATTGTTCTTATATTTTAACACTGCATAGTATAACATTTTTAAATTTAATTTTAAATTTTTTGTTCCTTTTGAAGAGTCCTTTCTACCACTTAAATTAGATGCCATGTTAATAAATACAAAGTGATACTATTTTCTTGGTCTAGTTAGTTTGATTTCAACCAGAAATCTCTGAGTTGCTTATAAACAGATAATGGGATGAAATTTTTTGAAGCTATACTTTATTTCTCAGACTGCTGAGGCACCTATTACTATACACATTCCCATTGGCAGAAATAGTAGTATTATTTTTGGCCAAGGTTGCTGTTAAGATTTGATTTTGCTCTAATTTCTACTTTGCCAATTTTCTGCCTCAGGCATCAAAATATTTTGGCTGGCACTAGATGTCACGTACGTAACTTGAATACTACATTGGTGTTGGAACTTGCTTGAGTGGCATTTTATAGTTTGGGATTTTCTTATACGTAGCTCTGTACTACCAGGGAATGTACTAGTAGATCTGATATATTTGGATTAGATTTGGGAAGAATCATTTTTATGTTTCATTAATTCATATGTGAGTAACAGAACAGCAAATAGGATTATTTTTAATGAAGTAACCCTATGATGGTTTCATTAAAAAAGGAGAGGGGAAATAAAGTGAATACTGAAATAAAGCATCATTAATGCTTTCCCCTCCATTATCCATTGGTTAAGCAGCATAGTGGGAAGTATGAGTTGCACATGTTGGTATATTTTGTCAATGTCTGGAGTGTTTTTGTTTAAAGAAAATCTTTAAAAGTTTGCATAACATTCAACCTGTTTCAATAACACCGGTTTGGTTTTTATGCAAGTTTGGCTATTTTACGTGCTGAAACAAAAGCTATTAAGATCTTCAGTGTCCTTTCACTTAAAGTTCTATTCTCTATGCACTTTCATCCAAAAGTCTACTAATGATGTTGTTTGTTTCAATATGATCTTGAATGGCTCAGCCAACATCTCTTCATTCATAAATAACGTATTTGTTTGGCTAGTGTAACTGAATACATTCAGAACTTGGAAAAGAATACTCTGAAGTAGTTCAAGGAATACAAGTATTCCACAGGTGTCCCACAGGAGAGGCAAAAAGAATCAGACCCCAAAAATGTCACATTGTGTTGTTGCAATGCAAGCTCCACCCCTTTCTATATATGTTGTTATATTGCATGAATGAACAAAACAAGCAGAGCTTGCAGCACCGATCCTGGTTTTTTCATTACATCAAAAACAGCCTAATCCTGCAAACACTGCTGAATACTACTTTGCTTTGTCCTTTCCATTTCTCCACTGTTGAACATTTTGAGAACTATTTTGATTTCTATGATCGTACTCTTAGTATACAATTACATGCACAGGTATGATAATCAAATTAGAGTCAAGTAGTTTAATTTTCGGCAGCAAAAAATGGCATTGTAATATAATTGTAGAAAGCCTCTCCTCAGATATGATGAATTAAACTAGTTCTTCTTTAAAATGATTGAAAAATTGAGTCAATCAGTATTGCAAGAAGAATGTTGAATGAATTTCAGCTTACTAAGCAACTCACTAAAATTGAGCCTGATATAAACTTTTATTTTGAAACCTGATAATAGTCTTTCTCAACTATAATGTGAAAACAATACATTTGTAGACCAATGAAATGTTAGTTTGGCTCTGAAATAAATTTTCCACCCAGTTTGGAGCCAGGCACATTTGCTTAACATTTTCACTGCTCTGCGAGTGATTGTTGTGAGATTGAGAGTTATGGTTATTCCCTTATGAGCCTTTTAAAGTTTTTAATGCCAAGTTTGTGGGATAATTTGTATAAAAAGAGCTGTAATTATTGCTTATATTCTCTATTCATTTTTGTTGGCGGAAGACGTTAGACCAGAATCATAGAACTAAAGAGTTCAAAGGCATAGGAGCAAATGACAAGATGTGTAGCTGCATCAGAGGTTATGATACAGATTATGAAATTGCATTATGACACAAGTATCATTTTGAGATTTGTTATGGACACTGCAGCTTCATGATAATGTTATCAGTACTCCTACATTAATACATGCTTGTAATTGCCAGGCAGTATTTTTCTTCCTCTTCATATCTAATGACAAACAGATACCAAGCAGTGTTTTTGTCCTAAGCAAGATATAAACCTTTACATACCTACATCAAAAATATGTAAAAGCTTGATGTGTGGAACTCTTCCTACAAATGTAAATGATAAAGTCTTCTGCTATGATAGAATTAAAAGTACATACTTTCATTCGGAGATGCCCTTGCTGTTTTTCAGATGTCTAGTAAAAACATGCATGCATCTCAAAACAATTACGATTGCCTCTTGTACATCTTAGGTTATTTAGATATGGTGTACACCATTGACTAGATTCAAATACAGTACCCATGAAACATTTGGGGCAAACTCCAGGAGATAGTGGAGGCCTAGTGTGTTGTGGTCCATTGGTCCATGGAGTCACAAAGACATAGCTTAATAACTAAACAACAGGCATAAAATTTATAATTTATAAATAATGGTAGCTGGATTCCTGAACAGCTAATGCTCATTTAGGGACTGCTTCAGACAGCAGCCATTATCTTTGTGATCAGTGCCTGCATTTATAGCCTTTGCAGCATCACTCAGTCACATGTATCCGTGTCTTGTACCTGTGACCCCGTTTTTTTCTCCTCACCCTCCACAGAGCTGAGATTGCCTAAAGAGGCTGTCTATTCCTGAGCTGCTTTCCTCTGTGCTCCAGCACATCCCTAAAAAGTGCTAACCACACAGGTTAACAAACTCAGTTCTGTGGTCTTAATTAATTGATGACAACCTTCAAGCCAATTGAGACTGTGTCTAACACTTAATAGGACTCTTAATCAGTTTCATGCTAAAGGTTTTTGTTTGCCTCTTAAGTGACTGGTGTTTTTCAGTTTCAAGAAAGCTACCACATTTATTTCAATGTCTATTCCACATTGTGTATCAGCTTATCCTGAGGTAATCTTTTCCCCTCCAGTTAATGTATATAGATATTAATTCTCTCCTTGCTAATTATCCCAGCCCTGGGTTGCGCATTCCAAAGGGCAGAAGAAAGAGCTGTAAGATTTCCCTTTTACCTGGCTTCCTTATGAGTCAAGTTCTGGAAACCTTCTCCGCCATTTGGACTCTCCCAGCTATTTACGAGTTGTATGTTTCCAACACTGCAAAGCAAAGGAAAACTAAAGTAAAGAAAAATCATGTGATTTTTCACTTAATGAATGCTTTGCTTAATGATTGAATCACAAACCAATTGCAGTTGCTGAACAAGGATAACTTGTATTGAGCCAAAAAAAAGGACCACAGTTAGTGTGATGTATGAACCTAGGGGCAACCTAGTTCTAATCCAGTTTTTAAATTATCATGTCAATTTTTTCTCCTTTCACATTCTGCACTCTGAGGAATTTGCAACTACTATGTTATTGGAGTAACAACGTTCCATGTTTTGCTGTACAATTTGTGCTGCAATGTGATGTCATGCTAGTCACATGCTGGCGTAAACATCTTCAGATAGCCCTGGCTCAATGGCTTAAAGAAGCAGGAATGACCTCCACCCCATAAAGTCGGCTATGACTAGTGGAGTAATATTTATTTATTTATTTATTTATTTATTATTAAAATTTAAATAATACCCACAGAGGGTCCCTATATTATTGGAGAAACAGGAAGGAGGGGGAAATAAAGCAGAATATATGAGGAGAAATATACATTATTTTGTTATGCATCTTGGCCTTGGTTAGTAACTGGGCATAGGAATCAGTGTGTTGTGCCAACCGCTTCATAGAAAAGATGAGTTCTGATGGATTTGTAAAGAAAAAAAAAACAAATCATGTATATGAGTTTTGATGGTTTGCTTCAGGTCTATTTGTGAATAAGTTACCTGAGCCTGCAAGCTTAAAATAGACACTCAACACATCTTAAAAAAAGAAAAAGGAATTGCCTCAAGTGGTACTTAGGACTATATTGCCTCCCTTTTTGTTTTGAATACATGTATTCAGTGTATCTGTAAGTACAGATTCACAGATAATCCTTGACTTGCAACCTCAATTGGGACTGGAATTTCCATCAATTGTTGTAATCCTAACACTACATGACCAGACCTGATTTTTTGACCACTTTACTACAGTTGAGAGTGGAATCATCATAGTCCTACGTGTGAATCCATCTTAATTAACGGCAGGGGATTTTTTTTGCTAGAAATAGTAAAAAAAAAACTCCTCAAATTGTGATCACATGACTATGGGATGCTGCATCAGTTGTAAATGTAAGCTGGTTGCCAAGTGCTCAAATCAGTATTGGATCATATTGCGATCATATGCCCATGGGTGCAGTTGTTAAGTTCAAATTTAGGTTGCAAGTGACTTTTTTGGAGGCTATCATTACTTCGAATAGTTGTTAAGAAACAAGTAACGATGGTCATAAGCTAAGGACTATATACCGCTTGAGCTGAAACTTCTGGACATCTTCTAAAGTAAATTTACTTGACAGCAGAAAGCAGCATGCTTCTTGACCTTTGAAAAGAGTGTATTTAAACATAATTTGGAAAACAGCTGTAAACCTGGTTCGAAATATCTCATATTTTGCTAATAATAGGCAGCTATAGCAAATCCTAGCTTGGTCGTTTATATGCAAGGAATGAAATGCTAGTGTTTGGATTAATGTGATATGCAGCCCTTTAACACATCTCTTCAATGCTGGCTTATATGAGAAACTATACCTCAGATTTTGCATGATTACAGAGCCTGGCATCAATATTTATTTATTTCTATAGCTGCCTATTTCAAACAAGTGGCCATGGGCAGCGAACAATCATAAATTAAATCACAATCCCCTAATGTTTAATTCAGAGATAAAAGTTAATATGTGCTCTTTGGAAATTATCAGAGAAATTGCAGATAGAAGAGCTACTGTAAATACTAACTCGTGAGGGAATTGGGATATAAATAAGCATGACATCAGAATGTAAAGTCCAAGTTGTAGATTCATTTCATCATTTGGGGGAGATAATCCTCTGGTATTTTTATTCTGTTTTAATTGTATGGGATTCTTTATACAGGTAGTCCTCAACTTGCACTAGCTCATTCAGTGACCGTTGAAAGTTACAACAGCACTGAAAAAAGTGACTTACGATCATTTTTCACACATTGTTGTGGCATCCCCATGCTCACATGATTAAAATTCAAATGGTTGGCAACTGACACTCATTTATGATGATTGCAATGTCCTGGGATCATGTGATTACCTTTTGCATAGCCAAGATTCATTTAAAAACCATGTTACTAATTTACCAATTGCAGTGATTCATTTAACAATTGTGGCACGAAAGGTCATAAAATGAGGCAAAATGTACTTAATTGTCTCATTTAGCAACAGAAATTTTAGGCTCAATTGTGGTCCTAAGTCAAGGACTATCTGTATACTATTTTAGTCTAAAATACTGGTATTTTACAGTTTGATTTCCCAGGTAGCTGTTGGAGCACTCTTGAATTGTTTGTAAAAGAGTCTGATCCTGGCTGAGTGAAAAGTATGTTAAAATCCCACAGACATAGCTTTACACAATTTACTGCTACTTTAGGTGAAAAAAATTACAATTTAATAGATTCTGTTGATAATAATTAATAAAGGAATAGAGTTAGATCATATACAGTAGCTTTAATGTAAAAAATAATCATAGATACCATGATGACATTTTTAGCATAATTACGTAGTTTTCTCTCTGTATTTTTATTAAAATATTATTATAGCTTTAAGAGAAATTAGTAGTAAAATCACTGAGTGCATGGGCACTGTGGGGAATGGATATGGAAAACCTTTTGGAAATATTAAAAAAAAATGTGTTGTTTTGATACAGCTTCCAGATGGCAGTCACGGCCAATACCTGAGGATATGCAGCCAGAAATATGGATTGCACAGGAATTACGGCGCATTGGAGATGAATTTAATGCTTCCTACTGTCCAAGAAGGGTAACTTTCAACATTTTTATGCTTCTAAATTTTTTTGCTTATTCCAGTGACGTAGCTCTACTTAAACAAAGGAAGGGGAAAGCAAATGTTATGTAAGTATTTCAACATTTCCTAAAATACTGGTTACTCAAATATATTTGATTTAAAACATGACATATTTGAATACTTTGCCTTTTTATATTGAAAACACACTTAGTTATTTGTAGTGTATTTGCAATTTAAGGAGCACACACATCTTATACAATAGGCCTGTGCTCCAGACCTCATGCAAGCTCAGCACCCATCTTCTACCAATTAAAACACCCTTGTCCTGTTTAGGCTTCAGTGGAGACAATGAAAAAGACACTACTTTCAGTCTTATAGGAATGCCTGAAAATCACTACAGCAAAGATTGATGTTGGATAGTTGGTTGGATGCCTTCTACACAATCTGTATCAACTAATTTTAATTACATTGTGTAATATATTAATGATGTATATGCAAACCAGTAGTATATATAATGGATATAACTTACTGAACTGTGAACTGGTGAACATTTTGAATCTGCATACTGCACAATTGTTATATATTCCTGCCTACACAGTTTCTTTTAGAATAGTATAAGGATCTGCATTATTAGTATTTAATTTAACTTTCATCCTCCAGTATTCTTAGCTTGACATTTACAAGTAGTCCTTGATTTATAATCATTTATTGACAATTTGAAAAAAGTTAACTTACGACCGTTTTTCACAATTATGACTGTTGCAGCGTTCCCCATAATCATATGATCAAAATTTTGGGGCTTGAAACTGGCATGTTCAAATCTCACCAGGCTTAAGGTTGACTCAGCCTTCCATCCTTCTGAGGTGGGTAAAATGAAGACCCAAATTGTTGGAGGCAATATGCTGACTATGTAAACCACTTAGAGAGGGCTGTAAAGCAGTGAAGGAGTATATAAGTCTAAGTGCTATTGCTATAACTGCACTTGATTCACTTAACAACTGTGGCAAAAAAGATTGTAAAATGGGACAAAACTCAATAGCTGTCTTGCTTAGCAGTGGAAATCTGATTGTGATAGTAAATCAAGGATTACTTGTCAAGGACTACTTGTACTTAGCTGTCATTTAATGCTAAGACCATACCAAGATTAGCTTCAGCAACAGGAACTGACTTTTGTTCCTGCTGGGAATGGAAAGTGTAGGAGATCATGTAGAATTCAGTTCAGGCTGCTGAACTAAGGTAAGAGAAAGTTCTAGTTTAGAACCTAGGACCAAGCTTGGCTTCCTTAAACTCAACTTTGTTCAGTTTAAAAACTGAGAAACTGGGCAGCTGTTCAGTCTGGAGACAATGAAAACAGATTTAAAATAAATGGTTTTTTAAAAGATAAATGGCATATCATCTTTTTGGATAACGAGGTAGTGTTTTAGCTTTCTCCCTTTTCTTGGATTTTTGAAATGTTAAAACACAGACTCTCTTCAAAAAGCACTGAAAACCTGATTTTATTTGAAGCAGTTACAGAAATTTGCAGATTGGACCAAACTAACTTAGAGAGAGGATGTTGAATCTTTCCTAGTGCTGCTTTTTTAGGGTCCCCTAGATACTTTTCCACTAATGAGGGAAAACTTATAGGGATTTTTCTTTCTCTTTTAGATGGAAAGATTTCTAGGGAATCACAACTCTTTTTATTGTAATGATCAAATTCATAGCTTTTTCTAGGATTGAGTGTAGATGGCTAATGGCCGTGATGGCCTTGTCATCATCAATCAATGCTCCTAATTTCTATTTTAAACCATTGAAGTTGTCATCATGTGTTGAAGGAGTGAACCCCACAGTGCAATTCTGTTTTCTGTTATTGCTAATTCTATATTGTATGAAATAGTATGATGTTTTGTAAATCATTGGCATCTGTAGTGAAAGAGAGAAACAAGGAAATCTTTCTATTAAAAAAAATCAAAGATTACTGTATTACACATAAGCACTTATAAATTATATTCACGATCTGATGAATGAAATAAATTCCTATGCGGGAAACTTGAAAGTGCATCCAGTTGGGATCCGTGTGGAAATACTGATAATAGACATAATTGTCCTGGGAGCTTATACAACAGAGTTGGAAGAGATCTTGGAGGTCTTAGTTATTTTAGATACAAATAGATATTTTAGATATAAAGTAGTTTAAATATTAATAGTAAAAGTAGTGCATTACATCTTGTTAGTTCCATTAAAAAAGAATTGTGAGATCCTAATACAATTAATGTTACCAGTAATGTTACCATGGGAAACTATGCATTTAGCAGGATAAATGCTATCTGTTTCTGTTGTTTTGAGGGGGGGGGGGTGTTAAAAAGTGAGTGTAGTCTTCCGTAAATGGCTACACTTAATGTCATGGGAATCGGGAATAATACACCTTTCCTCATCAAGGCATTGTACCTTATTGCCAAAATCTCTTCTGGTACATACTGAACATGGAAACTTCAAACCAATGTCAAATAAATGTAGCTCTGAAGGAACTTTAAATTAAAAATGGTAATATGTATTCTGAGATACACTGAGCTCACAATTTTGCAATGCACCCATTCCCTCTTTTTCTGTATAAAATTCTGAACAGGGTTCCATAGATGAAGAATAAGCATAAAACAAATTGTTCTAGAAGTTTGTTCACATGACGGTTGAGTTTTAATAAACTTTAACTGTATTGGGGAAGGGGACAGGGCACCAAAGGAAATATGAAATGGAAGATGCACCTTTTTTTGCGCTAACAGCAGCTTTATATTAAGAAATTAAGCACAAAATGCTTTACTGGTAAAGGAGGTAAAATGATGGGAAATGCTTGAGTTGTGAAATATTAGCAAACTGGATTACAATTAAGGAAGGAAAATGGCAATTCTGACCAATAAAATGATAAATGCCTTTCAGAGACAAAACAGAGATAGCATCTTGACAATTGATGCATGCATTGCATGTCACTTTAAGGCTCCTTGCTGGTTCTTGGTGAGTTTTGTAAATGGAATAGCTTATGGATCATAATTTTGTAGTAATTAAGGGTTTGCGGGTGGTTCTAATTGTTTTAAAAATAATGACAATCAAATAATATATCATAGTTCCATGCATTCTGCCACTATATGGAAAATTTCTATTGTATGTGGCAACTTTGGATAAATAGAAGCTCTGTGTTGCTTTTGGTCATACATAAGTAGATCCTTTTTTGGAGTTCAATGTATCCAATTACAAATAGTTGCAGCTTGAATCCTTCTGCTGAAATTTTGTGTATGCAATATATGTATGTCTTAAATGTTACATATAAACTGTTCATTTCCCACTATACTTTAAATGTTTTTTCTATTTCTATGGCATTCATCCTGTCCTCTTGCTGTCCTTGTATATGGTATGGGTCTTTGGCTTTTAGGTTGACAGACCTAATTCTCATATTGAGAAGTTCACATATTGTTACACAAATTAAATTGTGATAGCAACATTGGATAGATTCCTCTTTGGTTTTCCTATAGTGTCTGTATAGCATTTATAGGTTGACTATTCAAAGTGAATGCATGAGAAGGGGGAAGGAGACATTTGCGTAGGAAAGGTGGTGATGGGCTTGTGATGCTGAATCTTCGCCATGAGGAGCTGCAGCCAAAGGGCAGGGGGAAGGAGATAAGAAAGGATTAAGCTTCCCACTGCCATTTCTCTCCTTTGATTGCCCATGTTGTTTGCATCACTGGTTAAACTTGCCCCAGCCATGTACCAATTTTTTCCAGGCTGCTGTTTTCAGCCTGAGAAATATTTCCTCAATACTGTTTTGCTTCCCATTAGCTATTTGTTTTGGCTAAACTTCTTTGGCTGTTTAGTAAGTTTTATATTTAGCTCCTTCCGGTTTTTAACGCCTTTATTTTGGACTATGTAGCCTTCTTGTTCAGCTGGCAAAGCATCACACACCTGATTTGTCATACACGAAAATAACGTGCAGAAGAGTGTTCTGTAATGAAATGTTATGATGAGTCATTTAGTTTATATGTGAATTGGAGTTTAGACAATTTTTAGTTTCCTCATTCATATCTGGAAACTTGAGTAGAATGTTCAGCTAGCTAAATGTTACAACTGATAACAATAGTAAATTCACAAGAGACCTCAGAAAGAGCAAGTGGCTGTCAAGGTCTGTTTTTGTTTCCTATGCACCTGCTTCCCTGGATTGAACTTGCAGATTGTTTTGATTTGGATATTTCTTCGTTCCACTGTTGTGCCGATGCAGACACTTGCATTACATCAAGCTTTTGGAAGTGACAAGTGTGCAGAAATTAACCCCTTAGGAAACCACTGTTGAGGAAACAAGTACATACTTCCTTGGAATCTCCAAAAGCATCAGTAAAGTTCATGTTGTGATGATCTTGGCAAAAGCAGCACTGTTCTTGAGATACTGCAATAATACAAGAAACGTATAGTTAATGTCACTCAGTATTCTCCAAATATAGCTGTACAGTATTTCACACTTTCATGACAGACAAGTGTTTCTAAGACAGAATTTAGATTTCATTGACAGTTTCATTAGAATTACACCTTGGTCTGTTGTTATTTCCTTGTACATCTTTCTTATAGGTCATTCCATGTAAAATGGTCTGGGGCTCCCAGGTCGACCATCACAGATTTTGATGAAATTTGGTGTGAATATGCACACACATCCCCAATGAACATTGGATAAGTTTTGCTGATGGAATACTTGCGGAGATATATTCATTTGTTTGACCCCATAACACAGCTTTCGATAGTATGACTCTGAGATTTCAGCAACATTGAGACATAATATCTCTGGCAATATTTCATTGAGAGAAAAAAAACCTGGCCATCTTGTACAACTTGTTTGCTCTATTAAACTAAATAATAAAAACATTCTCATGAGTTATCTCCATCTAGATAATTTGGAGCAAAGTGAGATAATGAGAATGATTTAACAGAGTTTACAGAAGGTCTTTTTTTGTAAAAGTGGGCTGAAAATACTCTGTTTTTGCCGTTTTTACAAAAACTCTCAACTTTACATTCAATTTTGTAAACTACCCTTTTTTCATGCTGCAGTCATTTTTGGCCAACTTTGTACAAGATGGCCAAGTTTTGTTTCTCCCAACAAAATATTGCCAGAGATATTATGTCTCAAAGTTGCTGAAATCTCAGAGTCATACTGTTGAAGGCTGCGGTATGGGGGTCAAACAAATATCTCTGCAAGTATTGCATTGGCAAACGTTAACACTTATCCAATGTTCAGTGGGGATGTGGGTGCATGTTCACACCAAATTTCATCAAACTCCATGATGGTTGACCTGGGCACTTTCCTGAAATCAGACCACTTGACATGGAATGACCCTTATTATAGCTGCTTATTTCACCTAAATTGCATGTTTTGGCCCCTTTTTGGCTATTTACTTTTACTTCAGTTCAGTCCTTAATCTCATAGTTTCGTAATTTAAAACAGTCCAAATATTTTAAAAGTGTGGCTAGCTGAGGCCTTCTACTTAATTTGGACCAATGTTTGAAGCACACAGTAAGATGGATCGCTCTCTGCACGCAAATATACAAACATCAAGATTTACTTGCTGTTTTGAATGAAATTACCCAGTAGCTTTAAAGTAGAATCTGGATTCTGGCCCCTGTTTTGCTATGTTGTAGTCACATAACAAATGTTAACTGATATGCTTTGGTGAAAGGAAGACGTTTGTCTAGACTTTTTAAACATTTGAATTCAGTTTTTCTTTAAAACTGAGCACTGCATTGGGTAAATTAGCCAGTCTCTCTTAATAGAGTTGATGGTCATTTATTTGTAACAGACAAGAGATGATCTCCTTTTATCTTAAATCTTAAACTTTGGCTTCTAAGATAAATTTATCTCAGACCAGTTTCCTAGTTCTTGTACAGACTAAATAGTTTTGATTCTGTTATTTATATATCAAGCTTCTCCCCCACACATATTTTCTTTTGTGGTTATTTAGGGAAAACATGACGGGCTTTACTATATTTTAATATTTTTAGAACACAGGTTATGGGCACACTAAGGTGGAACCCTTTTCATAAACTGAAAAAAGCTTCTACATGCAACACACTCTCCTAGGTCTGTTTTAACAAGCTTCTGGCAGATGGGAAAAAAATCAAATATAGAAAATCAGTCTCTTACACTGCAGTCATTTTTGACTTATCTTTGTTTTGTAAGTAGCTACAATTTCCACCACAGAAATAGTATCTTATGTTTTGTAGATTCCATAGAGAGAGCATACCTTTCTTTGTGCATTTCATTATGCTTCCCCTAAGCACACCCCAGAAATGATTGTATTCTTCCCTCTCTTTGAAAAGTTAGATCATACGAATGAGAAGTCTATGCAAAGTGCCAGTGCATATGTGGAATGGAGCAAGGGGCATGTCTGCTTCTGCCCTTTCATAGAGACTGCCTGTCATTTCACTTCTATATTGGTTCTTGGGGGATTTTGTTGGGAGTAGTATGCTTTTTGTATACTTTATGAATTGATGTTTGTGTCAGGTTCTGGAGACATTGCCATCTTTTGTGGTTTCCCATCTGCTTAACCATAATTAGCAATGGGGAAAAACATAACCCCTGGAACCTATGCATTCTCTCTGTTATGATTGATACTGCTGTTAAGTTTGTCTTGAAAGGCAATACATTAATTTTTTTAAACAACAACCTAATATAAGCCTTATTCTTTTGAAAGTAAATTTGTGAAAGGCTAATTTTGGAAGAATCCTGTACTTCCAAGATAAAAATCACAAGTTGTTGTTAGAATGCCCTTAGAGGAATTGCAAGCGTGAATTGATTTGCTCTCATCTTATTATGAAGGGATGGAAGTGCCATAGCCTTGCCAGAATCCCATAATGTCAGGTGGATCAAGCAAGAATTTGCTGCTGCTGTCCTTCCCTTGCTTGGTTTTTAGAAATATCAGAAATGTTTTATCTTTGTTTGGTTTGAAAACAGTTCAGATTTTAGGTAAGCTACACTATATGACTTTTTCCAGCTAAAGCAAAGATAACTGCAGTGGTGCAAGAATCTGGTGGGTTAGGACAAAGAAATGACTATAGGCAGCAAACCAATCTCTTCTTAACCTTAATCTGTGTTAAGTGTAGTTATAATTACTTTCCATGAATTTAATACTTCCCAATTTTGTAATAGCATTTAGAAGAACTATTAAATTGTGCATCTCTTACTATAAAATAATTTAACTTCTTGCTAGACTTTAAGATCTTTGAAACAGATTTATGACTACATTTGACATAATAGGTTTTACTACAGGAAAGCTTACACCACAATAAATCTAGTAGTCTAAAGTATCCAAAGATATTATACGTACTGTTGCTCTTCTTCTGAGACTTTTTAGTGTTTGTTTGATGCAAATAAATGAAAATCTCTAGTTTGTATGCTAATTATATTTAATTAGTTTAAAACAACCTTTTCTAAACAAATGGCTAAAAAGGAAATAATTTATTTGTCCCCTGGATTATCTGCCTTATTTCTTCTCATCAAATGTGACTTGTGGAAGTTGAAGTCAGGCAGCACACAAATGTATATGTCTTTTTTTTCTTACATGACTGCATCTTTTCAAGTGTATCTGCATGTATTTATACTCAAAAAAAGCAGTGGGTGTTTATACAGGTGGAGTCACTTGAGAATAATTTGGAGGTTCACTAGTTCATTAGCTCTGGCACAGATTGCCAATAGCTTTATTTAGGTTCTTGGCATACATTACACCAAATCACTGGTTTCTCAGATAAATTATAGCTACCAGATTTCATCCTTTGGGAATCTCTGTAACATTTTCAATAGTCAACAATTTAGACAATGACACAATTATGCTCTGAGAATACCATCCTGGTTTTGGCATCTCCTGTTTTTTCCTCTTTCTGTGTGCTCTACCAGATCTCATAAATTATATACCATTGGTTTCTGGTAACAAACCTCACATTAAGCAGCACAGAACAAGATTAAATATAGTGACAGTTACTCCAAACACAGTGTTAAAGATACAATTCATTCACAAGACTTTCTTCTGCCTTTATTTCTTACACAACTGGAACCTGAAAACTATGGATTTTGGAGTCTCTCTACCTAGAAGGTGAAATGTCAAAAAATTGCCATTCATGAGGAAAATTAAACTGTCTATAGAAGCTTTTTAAATTTTTTTTGTTAATTTCTCATCTCACAGGAGTTTTAGAGCATGTTAGATGGGCTTGAGTTCTATATACCGTGATAGGGAGAATCCATTTGAATGAATAAATTACAGTGAATGTGCAAGCATGATTGAGGCAGACAATGAGGACATCAATCAGTGACAGAAAATGGACATAGGAAAAAGAATTAGCTAGAAATACAAAAGGCTATGAGTTAATCATTTTTTCCATGGTTTGCTGAATGTCCCCAAGTAATTTTGCATCACATTAACACAGCAGTAGCAATAGCACTTAGACTTATATACCATCCCCTTAGTCTATGAAAATTCTCAGGCATCCATGCTCATGGTTGTCCCATTGGTGCTTTTTCAAGAGGCAACTGGACTTCTCTTGGATGAGAAGCAAAACGTCTTCAAAGAAAAACCAGAAAGTCCCGTTGCCTCTTGAAAAAGCACCTTTGGGACAACCACCCCATAGTGTTTTACAGTACTCTCTGGGCGGTTTACAATGCCAGCATATTGCCCCATCCTCAGAAGGATGTAAGGCTGAGATAACCTCGAGCCCCATTAGAATTGAACTCCAGAGTGTGGGCAGTTTGCCTGCAATACTGTATTCTAAGCACTGCACCACTTGGACTCTTATTTCATATGAACCTTAAATAAAAAATAATAAAAATACACATTTCAGAAAGGATGACTTTGGGTTGAGATATAATAATGTTGTTTACACTCCATCTTTCAATAAGGCCAAAAGCAAATATATTCAATTGAATATGAGATACACACTATCTAGACTAAGGCTTAATAATTTCTTCCAACATATACTCTATAGTACCATTAATTATTGTGGAATTGTTTTTACAGCATTTAACCAATGAACGTTAGACCAGTTACTATTATTTATTTTTCTCATCCCAGTAAATAGAGATATAGAAAGAAAATGACTGTCTTTTTATTTGAAGAAATTCATTCATAAATAGCAACCATGCTATATTTGATTTGCAGCCAATAAACAATAATACTCTCCCTCTGTCTTAACACCAGCTCAGTCAGGCTGTTTGACTATTCAATCCCTTTCTGGCTTACAAGGGCTCTAGAGGGGCTTAAGCAGACTGGATCCTTCTAGAAGCAAGATCCTGCCATTATGTTCTGAATCTCTTACCTTGAAAATGTTGATTTGCACAAATTTACACTGTGCTATCGGCTAGCAATTATATGGTTAAATTAAAAAAAAGGAGAATTGCCTGCTAAGAAAAAGAAAAATTAAAGCATGAAAAAGAATATTTTCTTGTGTACATCATTTATTAAAAACAAATGATAGAAGTATCCATGTATTTATGAACAGAAGTTTAGTGTTCATGCAAACACCTACTGATCTAGTAATCTGACTAAAGCTTTGTCATTATACACATATTTGTTCCCTTTGAGATGTAAAGATACAACTATAATTCATAGGATTGCAATAGAAAAACCTCAAAATGCAATAGGAGATCCTGCTTTGTTACTATTTTAGTTTCACCCTAATAGTTGTCTTATTGGCCAGTTTAACACTGTTTTCATTTGTGCTTTGCTAAATCTACCCAAAGAACTTAGTACTGTAATTCCTAAGTTGTCCTATACATTTGATAATCTTTACTGCCTCATATGAAAGGTCCTTGTTTTAAAATATTTTTTTTTTCTTTCAGGGTTTATTGGATTACCAGGGAGTAAATCATCAGATCATAATTTTGCGCCTTTTGCATTACATCGTCCGCTTCATATGGAGAATGCAGTGACTAGTGCTTCAAGAGGCCATGACGATTGTTTACTTGGTTCTAGCAACAAAGCCCACGAACAATCTCTCTGGATGCAGCTAATAGCCATTCCTGACTTTGGGACATCCAGCAAATTAAAGGAGCAAGAGGACTCCATATTAGAGAATTAACAAATTGTGATGGACTTTTGGAAATGGGTCAACATTTTTAGAAACAATAGAGCTGACACCATTTTTTGTTGATGAAACTTTTTTAAAAAAAAAACTGCTATATAAAGCTTTTAAGAAAAGTAATTGAATCATGTATTCACATTAGGAAATATGTAGGCTGCTCCTCTACCTTACAACGGAATTGACTGAGCCAGCTACTTTTGTAAAGCTGCCTTAGTTTTTATATTAAAGACATATTGTACAGCTTTTTAAAGAACAAATCTTCCCAAGTAGTGAGAGGCCAGACTTTGGTATTAGGTCCTCCATTCATTCCAGATGACTTCCACGCAGAAGAGCTCATGATCATTAAATGAAGTTGGTGGAGACAAGATGGAAAGATTGGAATTGATACTTCCGGTTATTCCTCCCTAAATTTCTGCCATAAAAGTCAGCTGCCTTTGTGCGTCTACAACAGAAGGAATTTACATAGAACATGTACCTGTCTGCTGTGCAAGAACCAGATTGGATCTTTCTTTGTGTAGAGCTTCTGCCTCTTGCAGTCCAGAGGAAGAAATATTGAAGTTGCTTTGAAAGTTGAAATTAAACTGTGAAAGTTTAAATGGTCCAAATAATTACACCAGGTTGCCTTTTATAATTTTCTTCCTATGTTATTTGTATATATTCTATAGCATAAACTGATGTGGGGAGGGAGGGGGGCAATGTAGCAATAAGTTTTTGCATGTGGGTGAAAGCAGTTCCTACACCTGTGCAATATTGCCCCACGTTTTTAGAACAGGGTCCTACTGCATGATTTCTGGCACTGTTTTGATCCTCATTATGGTATTTTACTGTTGTTTAAATCCAGTTTGGGTGTCTGTAGTTTTTTTTAGACAAGCACTCTGGATTTAGTTATTGCTGCATTTATTCTTAAAATAAATTATCTGGAGGGATGAGTTAGTAACCATAATGTGGAATGTACAAGGACTACTGACTCAATGGGTGGATTTGGGGTCGATAGCAGCACAGTATTCAAATTGATTCTGAGGGTAAAAATTTCAAGAGAGATGGAAACAAGTTTTTTTTCTTTAGTTTTAACAGGAGAATTTCTGAAACCTTCTCCCCACCCTCCACCCCCAAGTGCAGCCTCCATAGCCTCATGTGAGAAAGTAGCTGCTTTTACCTACTATGTTGGTGAGGACTACTTACAGTTTACTTAGAAGAAGAAAAAATCTTGAACTGAGGGTAATTAATTCCAAAAAGCTGAATTGTGCAACCTAAATAATCAAAGCGAATTGTTTCTCTGAGCCAGAGATAGTAGTAAAAATAATGATTCCCTAACTGTAGACTGAAGGTCTGTCATATGCCATGGGAGAGACTGTGTGTCTGCAAAAAGACTTGCCATATTTGATGTCACTTCGTCCCCTTTGTGTGCCTAGAGATGGAAACAAATACCCTTCTCAGGATAAGGGTTCTCTCATAAAGTTCCTGGTTTGGGTTCTCTTGCATTTGCCAGGTACAGAAGCCTTCATGAACATAGGAAGCTGCCTCATTTTGAATCAGAGTACTGGTCTGTTTAGGTTAGTGGTTATTGGCAGGGTCTTTGCCAGCCCTTCTCAGAGATGTACAACACAGACACACACACACACACACACACACACACACACACACACACACCACACACACACACACACGCTGTGTATGCTGGACTACTTACTGATTTACCATTCTGTCTCAAAGCCTGAGCATGATGGCAGCAGGTCCAGTTCACTGTGGCATTTTCTCTAGTTGAAAGGAAGATACCTCTTTGTTACTTTAGGCACTGATTGGAAACCTAAGTATTTATGAACTGGACCCAGTAAAGACAACACACTCAGTGCTCCAGAGAGCAACCCTTGAAATAATTTAAAAGTTTAAACAGACCATTAAGGGGCCTAATGAAAATCTTTAGCTTTGCTTGCCTTTAATGTTTATGGGAGAGATGATCAAACAATTCTAGTTTTTTTTAATTGGAGGGAAGTCAGTTGCTTCCAAAAGGATTAAAATTTTGCTTTAAAATGAGAAAGTTCAGAATATTGAACTTATAAAATTAGTAAATTATGACATGCACATTAAGCTTAATCTTGAATGAAAATGAATCAAAATATAGCAAGTAAATTTCTAATGTACAATGGTGGTTAGCAGATGTGCATGCCTGACTTGTTTTAAAAAGGCTTTTGCTTCTGAGAAATCTTTTGTGACTCATCATAGTTTATTAAATATAAAATGTTTAAAATGTTATAGGTTATAGTAAAATGTAAAATAATAGATATAGCTTGGGAAAACTCAAAACTGAAAGCAACAGTGATTTAATAAAAATTAAATGAGCAGTAAAGTTGTGCTGCACCACATTATGGTCAGGTAATTCATATGTCATTTTTAATTGGCCATGTGAGGCAACTGAAAGTGAGTATAACAGATTGTGTCCCTTTTTCTCTTTGCCATATAATTTTATCTGGTCCTTGATTAGCTATATAGACTGGTACAGACTATAAACATGATTCCAAATACTGTGCCCCTTCTGGTTTCACCAGCACCACTGAAAATGTGTAACTAACCTTCAAAAAGTTGCAGGCTTTGACTTCTCTTGAAGCCATCTAAAATGCATTTGTAGAATCTAGACTATGATTCTCTGTATTATCAACACCACTTCTGTGTGATTTCTCTGTATTGTTCCATAAATGTTCAATTCTTATGCCTGTCCGTAATATGTGGAATGTTAGTCCACCTAGTGGAGATTCACCTATTCCCTGTATGTATTATTTTAACCCATTGTTTCAGAGATCTAGTGAATTTTAAAACACACACCAAGAACTCCCAACAAGCAAAATGTTTCACATGCTGGTGAAAGTTGTCCACAGAACTGCCTGGTAGTGGAGACTTAAAGACCGAAAGCAGTGAAAGTGCTAACCATCTTTTGGAAATGAGGATGTTAAGAGTGTATTATGTTAAAGTTCCTTACCCATCTCAACAGGCAAATGTCTTACTAAAATGACAGGGTTGATTAGCTGGTGCTGTGTGCATTGCTCTCACTTTTAAGAACAATCTCAACAACTTTGTGCCATCTTCTTTAGTCCCATCTTTTATAGTGCTGTGCAGCACTTCAGATTCAATTTCAAAAAATGCTTGAGAATGCACAGGGGAGAGGAATATTGCCCTTGACTGCAACTCCTTAAAGCAGCTGTTGCCTGTATCATGTGACAGGTGTGAGATTTATTGAAAAAGATGCAGATGCCTTCAGAAGTGCTAAGGTGCATTCTCCCATGTGTTCTGTAGCACATTTTTAGGAAGAAAGCCATGTTAGTCTATGGTAACGAAAACTCGGAAGAGCTCCAGTAGAAACATCTGAATATCACGTTATTAAAAGACATTGACTTTCGTGAGCTGCAGTTACTTAATCTGATGCATCAGTGACTAGATTGATACAGGATTTAAATTAGAGTGAGGTGGTGAGAAGAGAGGGGAAAAAACAGGTTATGCTGAAACTCTCTTATCTCATAGGTAACCTGTGCACCTGATGAAGTGACCTGTAACTCAGAAGATTAGGACTTTTAATATAATGTGTTAGCCAGAAAAGGTGCTATTGGAGGCCTTCTGATTTTTTGAAGCACCATTTGGAATTGTATTTGAAGCACTGCTGACATCCAGCTATAGGCACACATGGTGTTGCTTTACATGCTTCGCTTTTGCTGAATCAAGCATTTCTTTGGTAACTCTACAGGAGGGAGATTCCTTGTTTGATAATGTTGGTCCATAACTTTCCTAATTTGATTTGTTATTTTAATTTCAAAATAGAAATGACAATGCTGTTAATAGGAATTTGATCTGTATATTTGCATGTTGCTTGCAAAATCTGCTTTATTGGAAGAGGAAAGGAAATGGATTTAACAGCTAGCATTATGCTGCTCAGATTGATACTGTGCAAAATGCCAGAAATTCTTTCTGTTCCAATTACAGTGATGCTGATATACAACATTAGACACTTTTTGATTAAGAGTTTGCTATTATTCAGTGTGTCATAAGATCCTGTATTTGAATTTGACCATATTTTAAATGGAAATAATTACCAGAAGTATCTTTTAGCACAAAACTGGCTTATGTTGGTTCCCAACATGGACCCAGGATAATGTGCCTAGACTTCATCTTTCTTTACTCACCAAAGCATGAATGAAACTTTGCTCCTGCTTCTGTTCCTGGAGCACTCCAGTGTTAAAATTAAATCCTTCTGTAGACTGGGAACTTGGGAGTTCCATGCATGCACCTTATGTTGGAAGACTCCTTTGTTCCTTACATGGATTGGAGCAAATGCTGCTCCTTAGGATACCCTAATTTGAGCAGTGGCTTTCTCTTAGGGATGAGTATGTGGAAATAAGGAGCTGCTATACAAAGGGGGGCTTTGAAAAGCCCAGTGCATGAGCAGTGGCGTCTGTGCTGCCTTTTTGCATCCCTTGTCCTCCCCTCTCCCCCCAATTTCTTTAAAGGCTTGGCTGGCCCAGTGCCTTGAGATGTGTACACATCCATATGTGTTAACTGATAGCATGGACGCGCAATGAGCTTGCTGCCATGGCTTTAGGCGAGCATTATAAGCCGAATACATATTTTAAAAATTCTGTGAATTATAACATAAACAGTAAATGACACGATATTGGCACTGTGTGGCCCAAACCCAAGCTTTCTTTTTTCCGCAGACATTTATCTATATAGATACCTATATCTAAAAACTAAATCAAATAATACCCATTTGGTTTTCCAGTTCACTGCAGGTTTTGTGCCTTGACAACCCCACTGTGAACTTAGTAAGACTTGTGGGTTTTTAAAATCTTGATGTAATTTAACATATATAACCTTTTTGTCTATTAGAGGATTTAAAAAATAAAATAAAATCCCCTTTTAAATAGTCCTGCCAAAACATTTTTATGAAGAATTTCCTTTGGTTGTGGAGAAACCAGATATAAATTTCTTCCCAGAGAATTACTAAGACTTTCAATGCTTTTATTTTATTTCAATGATTGTAAATATTTGAATATTTATTAGATTAGAGCAGTTCTTCTCATCTGAGCCAAATGTTACCTGTGTGCAATGTTTCCTCTTTTCTTACTATTTCATGTAAGATTTTTTTTGTATAGCAGCAGAAATTTCTCTAAACTTCTTTTTGTAAAATTGAACTTGTTAAATACTGTAGGTTCCCCTTTTCTTTGTAATTAATGCACTCTACTGTTTCATAATGCTGTAACTTGTAGAAATGTTGTATATTTATTTTCTGCTTATTTAAGTTCTTGTAAAGTCTTTTTTTTCTTTAAAATTTACTTAGCATATATGAAAATAGTGATTGATCAGTTTAGAGCACTGTCTACTAGTTTGAGATACTTGGCGCTATTTTAGATATTAACCCCCTTATTTTCTCTCATTGCTCTTGCTTCCTTCTCTGTCTTGTTACAGCGTTTAAGTATAAAGTGCAAGCAGAGAGTACAATTCCATTGTGTCATTAGGAAAGCCCCATACTCAAGGTTTGAAACATTTGTATACGTTCTTGTGGGGACTGATGGTAGTTTTCAAAGAATTTTTACTAAAGCAGCAAGCAGTGAATTAGCCTTCAAAAATGATAGACATGATCCAAGGACTTGCATGGGCACGTTGTGTTCAGTCAGAATTCAGATGACCCCAGCAACTTGCCACAAAAATCAATGTTTCTGGAAAATTCATGAAATATCAGATGACAACCTTGTTGGTGCTTCCTGTTTCTTTCTTGAATTGTGCTAATATTAAGGGCTGTTAATACTGCATCCCTTGACCTCAGTTTATGTAGCACAGGATATGGCTGTTACCTCATGATCAAGAAGTACCTACAATTTATTCAAGAACTTAAATTTTGAGTAGAGTGAAATTTTGCACCACTAGTTATTGTATGACAGACCTCGTCATCAGGTACAAACATCAACGTAGCACTGATCTTGTACTGATTAATCACTAATTTGTTTAATAGAACCCAGCATATGTAGCATTTTTATTGCAGTTTCCCTGGCTTACTTGTGTTTTGCACTGATGAAAATTTGACAGGGTAATTGCCACTTTACTTGTGCAATACTGCTGTAAATAACTGCAGATCTTTTTTTAAGATGCAATCCTTTATGTTCTTAATAATTTTATATGAATAAAACTTTTCAACTACTATTGTGTACTTTTTTAATTTATTTATCAGGAGTTTTCTACACCAATTTGCTTACATGTATAGTTGCACTACATAAATCTCCATGCAGTTTGATGTCAACATCTCAAAACCATACCTGTAACATACCGCATTTTTCAGACTAAGATGCACAAGGAGTATAAGACGCACCATGATTTTGAAGAGGTAAATTTAAAAAAAAAAGTTTTAGCCCTCCCCGGTCCCCAGGAGCACTCTGCAGTCCTCCCAATCCTCTGCATGAGTGAAAAATGGGGCAGGCAGAGATTTTGGAAGGCCTGCAAAGTGCTCCTGGGGGCCAGGGAGGGCAAAAACGCGATGGGTGGGGTGTTTGGGAGGCAAAAAAAATGGGGCGTGCAGAGGGTTTTGGAAGGGTAAAAATGGCTGTATTTGATGTATACACACCCAGATTTTAACCCTCTTTTAAGGGGGGGGGGGAGGTCTTATACTGAAAAAAATGGTAATCCATGAGGCAGCAAAATGAGCAGAGGAGTTAAAACAAGTCTCAATCTGAGAAAAGGATTATGTTTTTTTTTAAACAAAGGTAGGAAAAAGTGAATTAAAAACGTTTTTGTATGGTACCAGATCTCTTTGAGGGAAGATTTTCTAAAATCCAGAAATGTCTTCCTTCTAGGCAAATAGGTAACAAACAAGTTAGTACAAATTAGTTAAGTGACGTTTCTTTACAAAAGGAATACTTCAGCAAACAGCTACAGGGAATATTGTTTTATACCCCACCTTCAGAAGCTTACATTTCTCCCTGTTTTCTCCACATTTTAACCTCAATGAATAAATGGAATATGTATATTTAGAATGTTTTTGATTAGTAGGACACAAGTAGTAGGGATTGCTACTATGAGCTACCTGGAGGGAGATATGCACCACAGAGCTAAATTGGGAAACAAAATAATCAACAAGGAAACCATTTTGGAAGATCAACAAACTGGTAGTAGCTTTAATATGACTCACATGTTGACTATTTGTTATTTTTTAGTTTAATATATTCTTAAACTCTCCTTTCTAATGCAAAGGGTTGAATCTGTTTAGTAATTTGTTGCTCCTTCATTTTTTGGAATTGGGTCCTGAGGTAGGAATTGCCTTATCCTTGCTGCCATTTAAGAAGGACCTTTTAAGATGGTTCTCCTTTGCCATACTTTTGGATCTTAATTTTTACAGTAATTTTGTTACTATATTTTGCAGTCTGGGTTCATTTTTTCATAGTAGTAGTAGTATGCTTTTAAACATTTTTATCGATATGTCATGCAGAGTTGTGGCATGGGGTGAATAGAAATAGCATAAAATGAATTATTAAAAGATATATGGAGAGGGTAAAAATAATGTATGCAATTTTTTGTTGGCAGAAGATTCTTGAGATATGTCTTCAAAGTACTTAAAAGTTCAGCTTCAAATATTCTAATGCAATTCTAAACAGATTTCAAAATTAAGAGAAATAGTTGCATCCATAATAAATTTAAGTTTAAAGAGAGGGACCATTGGTGTCACTAGTAGAGCACCATACTTTCTGCTATATGGAAAGATGAACTGATTCAGTGAGCATGCTGTTGTATTGGCACTGTAAGAGTAGAAGGCAACACATACCTAATTTCAGAGCAGTGCAATTCTTTCCATTTGGACTGCTTCCTGTACAACACTTTTCTTTGAAGAACTTTCTGGACTAACTTCTTGTTTCAGACACTCAAAATAGTTTCTAGACCAAAGTAGAAAGTCACTATTTTTCACATGCCTTTTGGTAAGATCAAATTATGATTCAGAAATGGGCCAGAGTATGCTAATACATCACTTTTCTACACTTACTGAATCTGTGGAATGATGGTAACTACTTGGAATGCTCCAAGATATTAGGAAAAGAGATGCTGGAAGAATCAATTAGTATAAATTGTAAATGTCCAGCCAAATATTTTGTGGATAAAATCTTATTTGCTCTTGGTTGGAAATTGATAAAATATACTGAGATGAGAGGGATCCTATCTTACGTTATAGAGATTTTTAAAGCCTGTAGATGTCAGGGAAATTATCAGAGTTCCCTCCATTATTTGCATTGGATCTCTATCTGACCTAGCTGGGGAAAGTGGCCAAGAAGAATCAATGTTGCTTTGTGAGAATTGGAGACTCCAGCATCAGGGAAAAGACCTGCTGATTTCCCTGATTCTCAACAAATTAAGCCTGAATCCAATGGAAATGAGAAAATATTGTATCTTCAATCTTTTCCCCTTGCAGAAGGTTAGTAGGAACATATTTATAGTTATAGAGAGCTTTGGAGAAGCAGATTATCAGGACCTGGAAGTCTGGATTCTCATTGTTAAGTCTTTACCTACAAAAGGTAAATTCAGAGATGTAAGTTTTAATACCAAGAATTAATAGTGTTTTGAGACGAGTTAGGAACCCTTCAACCCTCTTTTAGTAATTCATTAAAATGGTCTCTTTGAAGCTTTGAAATTTCTTTCTCAGATTGTTTGCGTGACAAACTAAGGTAATGCTATTAGATAAATCTGTAATAGGATCCTCAATTTGCTGAATGCCCTTACTTCTTTCTTGGCTTCAAACTCTTACAAATGACCATCGGTGAGACTTGCATTAAGGAAACTATTCTTGTCCTAGATATTTGATGCTCTACTTCAGGTCAGATAGGAGATGCAATAAAAGTGCTAACCTGGTCTGTAAGACGGATGAGAAGAAACAGGTTCAGATTCAAGCTGAACAATGCAAAATGACTTTAATGTTAACTAAGAAGATTCCAAGACTACTATTTTCTAATCTGAAAGAGATTGTCCTTCCTAGGTTTACAATCTAGGAATTCTCTGAGACTCAGTTCTTTTGCTAGAAGAGGAGGTAAAGGACATGACCAGGAGGGCTTTACCCCAGATTTGGCCAGTGTGCAAGTTCTAGACTTATCTAGAAGAGAATATGCTGAGAACTTGCTTATGACTTTATCAACTCTTGCTTAAATGATTCCAATTCACTCTTCAGTTTATAATGGAGTCCTTGAAGATTTGGAAACTTCAATTGGTCCAAAATGCAACAGCCTGCATGCTTAGTGGCCAGTTTCTATATTGCCATATTATACCACTGTTGTGAAAGCAAGGTCAACACATCTATATTATCTGAGTGACAAAAAAATGAACCAATGAATCTCTGGATCCTCTAATACAGGGGTGTCAATCTCGTGTCATCACAGCAGCATCACGTATTGCGACCTTCCCTCCCTTCACTAAATCGGGCGTGGGTATGGGAAGCGCGCGAAGCATCTGGCCCACATGCTGGGAGTCTGACACCCCTGCTCTAGTGTCCATTCATGTCCTCGGTAAATCAACTTGGACACAAGCAAAGATATTATCAATCCTTCTAAAATTGAAGAACATTATTGGATATTCATATCCAAAGCCTGCTGCCCTAAAAAGTCTATTTAATCCAGTCATTGCTCGAAGGTAAATATGTGCTGCTGCTGAATTTCTAGATGTGGACACACTGATAAACAGTCTGCCTTTCCAAGCAGCTGCATTTTGATGGGGAAACAGAAAGTGATAAGGTTTCAATCAGCTTGTGCATGCTGTGCTGAATCAGCAGGCTGCCTGAATTCTGGCACTATGCCTTCATTGAAGGGCCTCCATGGCTCCCTTACCCCTTGTGCAACCTGCCAGGCAGCCCTGCTTCAGATCCCAAGGGTGAAAATATGGCCAGGTGAAAGCATGAGCCTGGATATTTTAACTCAAAAAGATAATTTATAATGATGCAAAGTTATTTCAGCACATCTGAAGGGGAAAATGGCTATTTCTGCGTAGAATTCATAACCAAACTCAAAATGTGCTTGGTATTGAGCATGCACTCTGGATCAGCTGTCTACCAGTAATTATAAGTAAATGGAGGGTGTTTATGCATGAGACTTTTAAAGGTAATGTAATATGCAAATATGTGGACAACATCCTATTTAGCTGGAACAGTCTTGGGGGGGAAAATCCATTGGGTCAACATTGGACTTGACAAGTTCTACTTTTTAAGACATTTCAAATTAATAAAACTCCTAAACCTAAGATCATCTCAGAGAAATCAGGGCTGGATCCACCAAGACCATTTGTAGAAATTGGATTTCCATGGTCTGACACTACAGTGACATTTTGAAAAGGAGACAATATCTGACCTAGTCATGGAACTCATCTTCTCAATAATAATGTTGATAAGGCACCAAAAAGTCTCCCTCCAATGGACTCTCCCTCTTCATATTAGCTTTAATTTTTGCATGAGTTGCTTGAAGTTGTACAAGGCATTATGGAACATGTTACCATTCATGGTATCATGCTCCCTATAAAGAGGGTCAGGCCAGCCCATCCAATTCAGGATTCATCCAGTGATCTCTGTAATCACTTGATCAGTTTTAGATGTTAGCTAAATTAGCACATTCCCCACCCCCATTAATTCCAAATTGGATATAGGAGGAGGAAGGATGATCATTACCAGTGTAACTTGTAAATTACATATCCTGATTCAATTCTCTTTTTTTGCTGTAGACTTTAGACCTAGTGAGAAGCAGACAGAAGGAATCATATTCAGAGGGGGTTCATTTAACTTTCCTCACTTAAAAAGGCAAAAAAACCTATGCAAAATCATCTTAGCATACTTGAATTTCAGAGGAAAGCTTGATTATACACTGTGCTGTGTTCCATCTAAGCTGCCCGTGGCTCCTTAAAGAGTATCATAAAACACTTTAGCTGAGGTGCAATGTAATAGGGCAGCCCCTCCTGATGAGGGCCATATATACAGCCATCTATTCTTTGGACAGTTGTAATAACAGCATTTGTATTCCATTAAGCCCTGTCAAGAGTGATTTCATGACCCAGCACTGCTACAGTTAGCTACAACAGTCACAACAGCTGTGGTGCAGAGTGGAGCTGTCTTTCCAAGCCCAGAGCAACTCATATCCCACAGGTGCTAAGGAAACAGCAGCAGTAACTGTTTATACAATCCAGGAGCT